GGTGTTTCTTAAGAAAATAACACAAAATATGATATGAGTAATGATACTAAAATATCCAACAAAAAATAATAATAATGAAATCGTGTAAAACAAATATTGCAAATTAACAAGTCATAATGAAAATGATCATAATTTAAAAGTACTAAATCATGCTAAAATTAAGTTTAATAAGTATTAGTTACATGACTAAATATTAAAGGAATTAAAATTAGATTATGTATTTTAATTGTCACTAATGTAAAATTAAAGAACAAATATTCAATATTATTGTCATTCTTAGTGTTGAATTGATTTTCTTTTTGCATTAGTATTAATTTCATTTTTGATTTAAGCTTTATTATAATTATTAATATCTATGGACTATAATCTTTATTGAACCATTTAGAATTCTAAGTTTCAAACTTGAAAGAATAACTATATTAAAAGATAAAAACTATGAAAAAGTATAAGAAATATTTAAAAATTATATCAAAGTAAATATTTTTATGTATAAAATAAAATTTTAAAATTATATATATAATGTCGGGTTGGTTTGGTCTCGGGTTGATTTTTTTTAGTTAAAACCAAACCAACCCAAATATAGTCGATTTTTTTTTCCAATACCAAACCAAGTCAAACCAACCACTGGTCGGGTTTTTTTTCTCGGTTTGAGGTTTGGTTCGGTTTGAGGTTCGGTTTTGTACACCCCTAATTTTCAATATAGAGAAAAATAATTAGTTTTATAGAAGAACATAAAAAGGAAGAGAAGTTACAATATATTTGGTAATATCATGAATTTTGAGTGAATAAAAGTTAGAAACTTAATTCATTTGGCTAATCCATATTTTACCCATGTAAAAAGTCACTCACCCAACCCATTAAATATGGGAAAGTTGGGCGGGTTACCAAAATATGGGCTCATTTGCTGTCACTATTCATGATCAAGAAAATCATGTTTCGTCAGTTTTATTTAGTAACTAAACATATTATAGGAAAAAAGAAATTGAAACTTGGTCGATCGATTTGAACTAAGACTTATTGTTTAGTCCATTTTTTATTTTTCCAAATTCAGTTCAATTTGATACATCTAATATTTTGATAGTTTTTGACATCTATATTCCAAAATTCAATTGTTCCTATTATCCTAGTCTTTCATAATATTCTTCCAAACTTGTTTATATATTTTTGGGATAAGGGTCTGAAAATACCTCAACTTTGGTCGGATTTGCTGTTGCAATACTAAACTTTTCATAAGGACCTATTACCTCCCTAGACTATTTAATACCGTATTTTAAACATATATATTTGCCCACGTGGACATAAAAAATAATGCAAAATTATAAATAGTAATGTGTCCATGTGGGCACATATATACCTTTAAAATACACTATTAAATAGTTCAGGGGGTAAAAAATACGGTATTAAATAGTCTAGGGAGGTAATAGATCCTCATGAAAGTTTTAGTATCGCAACAGCAAATCCGACCAAAAATTGAGGTATTTTTCAGACCCTTATCCCTATATTTTTTCATCAAGATTTAATTCTTTCAAGGATCATTTATTCATCGAGACTTAGTTTTTGAGCAATTGGAGTCGCTTGATTTCAAGAATTGTTTGTTAACTGAAGACTTCGAGGTGATCTGTTTGGCTGATCCGTAGTAGTTTTGAATCCTATTATATATTTACTTTTATTTTGTCTAAACACATATACAACCCCTCAAACTTGCCCTCATTTTTCATTTTGGCACTCCAACTTAGCCTTGTTCCATTTTAACCCTTAAACTCCATTTTTTCTGTACCATTTAAACACTTATACTAATTTTTATGATTTGTTTTTATTTATGTTCTTCAATTGCAATTTCTTATTTTTTAAAAATAAACGTGTGCCTGTTAATTAAAAAAATTAAACATTCGCGAACGAACATAAAAAATTTCAAACAATAATATTATTTTTTGATATTTCTCTGTATTTTTGCATGAAAATAAATTGACGAAAGTTCTTTGATTTTCTTTCTTAAACATTCAATTAAATTAAATAACACTACTTATTTATTTTTTCTTATCATCTAGGCTATCTAAATTTAACGCAAATACTCACTTTTAATTTTTAATATAAATCAATACGAATAAAAAAACCCATCTTCAAAAAGACTCGACTGACTTTGTTAATAACACTACTAAAAAAAGACTCTTGTTCATTGCTAATAACACTACTAAACAATGTTAAAACTCGACTAACTTTGTTAGGTTGTCGGTGATTTTAATGTTCATTGCTAATAACACTATTAAACAATGTTAAAACTCGACTGACTTTGTTAGGTTGTCGGTGATTTTAAAGAAAGAAAACCAACACAATTTCGTCAGTTATTTTTCACACAAAAATACATAACACTCTTAAAAAGAAATTATTATTTTTTAAAAAGAATTATTTTTTGTTAATTTTATTTTTTAACTAAAATTAAATGACACATGTCGATTTAAAATAAGAAGTTGCAATTGAAGAATATATATAAAAATAAATAAATCATAAAAATAGTATTTCGTGTTAAACTGGAACATAAAAAATGGAGTTCAAGGATTAAAATGGAACAAGGCTAAGATAAAGTGCCAAAATGAAAAATATGGACAAGTTAGAGGGGCTGTATATGTGTTTGGCCTTTCTATTTCAAGACAGTTTTATTGAGACATTATTAGATGTATATATTTAAAGATTTTGTGCCTATGACACCAGAGTTTTGGGATGCACTAGTTCCTTTTTTGCTATTTATGATTCAGAGGCGTATTCAGGAGGGGGTCACTGGGTTCACGTGAATCCATGCTCCTCTCCTGAAATCATATATAGTAGTGTTATATTTTTTATAAAATATTTAAATATAGATATGTGAACCCAAACTTGAAGTATATATCATACGTGCAATTATGATTGATTGCACCTCTCCAAGTGAGGTTAGAAATTTGAATCTTTTATTTATCTTGTTTTATTTTCCTTTTTAAAATTGGGTAATATATCTCTAAGTGGTTTGGATAGGTAAAAATAACTTTTTATATATTTTATTAGAATATGTAAATTTATGAATTAAGAAAAATCAAGATTATAAAATTTAGAAGTTAAATAAAGTACTGAAAATTTTATATAAAGTTCAAACGCGACTAAGAATGATACAAAAAATTTAAACTAACGTAATGTATACATACATTGTATAGTATACTACTACTTTTTTATTCTTCTTTCCCTATATTTGCTATACTAAAAGAAATGTTTTGCATCCTTTGGTGCATCTTCAAGGCTTCAAATTAATTTTTCATTTTCTCGATTCTTTCTGCAAAAATAGAAGATAATAACGTATTAGAAAATAGAAACAAAAATAACATTTTTATAATCAGGTCAATTATATGATAACTAACTACAACATTTTAATTTCTATAATAAACATTAATCAATAGTTCTATAATAATAATAATAATAATAATAATAATAATATTAACAATAATGATGGGTGAAGTAGCTAGTAATTGCACAATTATAACATGTATGATAAACGTTAGTATGTTACAATAGGCAAAACTACATAGTTAATGTAAATATTCTCTAAGTTCTCGATGTATATAACTAATTAAATTTAGAAAAATAACATGTTAGAACTATAATAAAATATTGTGTAAAAATCCTTTAATTTGTATTGTCATATATATAAATTCTAAATTTAAAAAACATTAACATACTTTATATGACGTGTTAAAATTATATGGGAAAAATGATAAATATACCCCCAAACTATCGTAAATGGTATGCAGATACCCTCCGTCATACTTTTGGGACATTGGTGCCCTTGCCATCCAAAACTAGAGCATATATGCCCTTCACTCTAACGGAAGACTAAACAGGGACACGTGGCGCGATCTTATCCGTCGATTCAATATTTAATAAATGTTGGATCGGTGGATAAGATTATGACACATGTATGTCCGTTAGTATAAAGGGTATATATGCTCAGTTTTTGGACGGCAGGGGGCACCAATGTCTCAAAAGTATGACAGAGGGTATCTAAATACCATTTAGGATAGTTCGGGGTATATTTGTCCTTAAATATTTACCTTTGAGCAACTTAGCACTGCATTCAGTGTCACATTTCATCTCACAACGAGTGTATCCAAATCCTTCATTGGTACATTCCTTTTGACAATCATTGTAGCAATCTTTATATTCATTTGCCACAATTTCAAATGATTTTTTAAATTCTTCTGCTTTATTTTCTTCATCAGCCATGGATGAAGAAATCACAATAATGCAAACAAAAAACATTGCCATAAGCTTCTTTGATGCCTCCATTTTTTTTAATATGTGTTTCACTTTTCGTTTTTCGATTTTTCGTTTTGTTGTTATATATGTATTTTTTTGTGTGTATATTTGATTAATACTATTGAATCTTCTATAGAAAAATACCACCTCAAATTTATGTGGTTGATAACCAATTTTGTAGGAAATTTCTGGTTGTGCTTGTATTTTTTTTTCTTTGTTTTGGTTGGTAATGAAGAGTTAGTTTACTAAAAAATAGGAATTATTATAAATTATGATTTCTAAAGAACTACACTTTCAAAAATATGAAGAGTACTAATTTCAAATTAAATAACAAGCTAATTAAGATCGCTTGTCACTCTATTTAAGATATGTGTAAATATATTTACCTTAAATGATGACTATATATTTGATTATATATAGGCACCAATATACACAATGTTTGGTTGGCTGTATCGATCGAGTCATTGAAGCCTACTTACTATGACAACAAGGGTCGCCACTAATTAATTAATGGAGAGACTATATATCTCATTATTCAAACATTTCTATTATATTTACTAGTTCTCTCTATAGTTTGAAATAATTATTTTTTTATATCACTAATTAATAATTTTATACTAGATTTCAAGTCAAATACACCCTAAATTTTATATCACTCTGGGGTTGTCTGGTACAAAGTATTATAACACAGAGATTAGTAATGCAGGGATTAGTAATGCATGGATTAGTAATGCATGGATTAATAATGCAGGGATTAGTAATGCAGGGGTTATTTTTATCAATTGTTTGGTGCATTGCTTCCCACCTAATTTTGGGTTTGGATTAAAAAAAATTACAAAAGTTTCTTACCAATTATACCCTTGAATTGTTATAGAATTTTCTATTTATTTAATTGGGCCGAGATAGATAACTATTGGACAATATTATTTTTATAATTGAGAGTCTTATTACTAAATTTTTAGAGCTCGAATTATCAAAAATCAATTGCTTTGAAATTGAATAAGGTTATTACTTTGTTTTTTTTTTCTTTTCATAAATGGTGTATTGCTATAATTACAGTGCCGTTCGAAAAAAATCAAGAACGCTGAGGATGTTTTCTATTTTGGTTCCTTTTATGATACACGTTATAGTGTGTTATAGACAATTCATTATTTTATTTCTCAGCTTATCCTATTTACAACCCTAGTTATAAAAAAAATTAAAAAGAATAGATGGAATTCCGAATTAGTTAGAAATTCCACTTTAACATTTGAGTTCTTTTAAATCTAAATAATTAATTTCTTCGTTGGGTCCATAATTTTATTACATACAAAATAATTTATTCTGCCTTATTATCCTATATTTGAAGTTAAATTTAATTGAGTGATTTATTGATAGAAATATCTAAGTTGAGTGAGTTTATCGACACAAAACAAAGTTCAATGTGACTTTACTTGAAAAAATCTCAAAGTTGAGTAATCTTTTGAGCAACAAACAACTCTTTATTAAAATAATAAAATTTGTAAGCTAAATTATTTAAATAAATTTACTAATATAAATATAAATTATTATGAAATCAAGAAAATAAATAAAATGATTAAAAGAATTTGAGGGATATTTTTTGTCTTTACATAGATAATCTCATGGTATTAAAACCTATGTATTACTAATACCACCAAATGGATTAGATAATCATATAATACCATGTATGTTGTATGGATTAGTTATACATGGACCAAAATTCCTACCAAACATAGTACTAAATAATACCATACATAATACATGGACTATTTCTTCTAATACTCCCTACCAAACGACCCCTATGTATCACAAATACATGTGAATCATACTAAACGTACACATGTATATATATATATATGTTTCTGGTGTACTTGCATGTATCTAGGATACCAGATGCGTAGGAGAATGGTGGGCGAGATAGAGGGAGGCGGGAGAGATTTGTCAGATACATGTATTTGGGATACCAAATACGTAGGAGGGTGGCAAGCGAGATGACAAGGATGCGAGAAAGATTTGTCTATGTATCCCAGATACATGTGAATTTACTTGGATACAATGTATCTGAAACAAATTGCACCTAATTTGACTCATGTATCCCAAGATACATGTATTTGAATGTATCTGGAAGCATCAAAATCTAATAAAATTCGTAACATTACAAATTAACGTATAACTAAATAATTAACTCCTAAACTAATGAAATTTCTACAATTTTCCCGTCATTTATTATACCAGTGCTAAGAGAGATTGGACTAGTCCCTATCGAGACAACATAAAGTACTCTCCAATTGATCCTACGTTAGTTTTTAAACTAGTACGTCATCTATTCTTACAGAGGCGTATCTAAGTGGGGGTCACCGGGTTCACGTGAACCCATGGTCCCCTCCCGAGATCATATATAGTAGTGTTATATTTAAAAAATATATATATTGAAATATAGATGTGTGAACCCACACTCGGAATATCACATAATGCGATCATGATTGGGTGCACTTTTGGCATTTTAATTAATTCAATATATAAAAATTCTTTTTCTGAAAATATTTTATCCATTTTTCTTTGGAATATTTGTGGTGCATTTTTTAGTCCAAAAGGCATGACTAACCACTCATAATGTCCATTAGGAGTACTGAAAGCAGTCAACTGAATGGAGTTTTCTGCTAATTTTATTTGCCAAAAACCGCTTTTACAGTCAAATTTTGAGAAATAGGTCTTTCCTCTAGCTAAATTAATTAAATTGTTTTTATTTGGGATGAAGTATCCGTCAAATAAACAGTTTTTATTAAGCTCTTCATAGTTTATCACCATTCGAGCTTTGCCCCTTTTTATCTCAACATGGTTTCTTACCATAAATGCTGGACTACTATGAGGACTTTTACTCATTCTTATTAATTTTAAGTTGAGCAATTCTTTGATTTGAATTTTGAATTCAATTTTATCATCTTCATTGTAGAGCATGGGTTTGACTCTTATAATTATGCTTGGGTCTTTTAAGGTTAAAGTTGCCCTTTCATGGTTTTGTTCCCATTTTTCTAATGGATTTTCTCCATAAGATTTTTGTAAATTTTCTTTAATCTTTTCTAGATTAAGACACTTACAAATAATTTTTCTTAGATTTTCTAAGTATTTTCTTTTGAAAATTCCATCATTAATTTCAAGGTTATATGGATTTTGTTTTCTTGGGACTTTGATAAAATGTCCACAAGGGGTTTTAAGGCTTATCATATATAATGTTTGATGATAATCCTGAAATTGTTGTAGAAAATCATTTCCTAATAATAAATCTGTTTCTAGTTTGTCATAGGCAAACAATTTATTTATAGATACAATCTTTGATCCTAAGATTATTCTACTTTTTCTTTTGATTTTGAGAGCTTTTCTTTATCTTCTGTGATTCCAATCATTGATATATTATTTTTATTTATGTCCCAATCTTTTATCAAAAAAGATTTTGCTAGACTTGCTTCAGAGCCATTGTCTATTTGACAACATGTTGTTATTTTTGTATCATAGAAGGTTATTTCTATGAAAACTGAAACTTTAAAAATAGTTTCTTTTGGCATTTACATTTTTGGTATAAAACATGTTTCTCCTTTGTATATGATTTCTATGCCATTTTTTCCTATACTATAGTCTTCTAATTTGTTTAGGAAAAGAAGGTTTCCTAAGATTAAATCCTGATCACTTTCGTGATTTGTAATATAACAGGGAACTGTTATTCTTATTGTATCCAATTGTATTGTTAAATCTACCATAGTTTTACAACTAAAGTCATTTCCTTCGAAGGTTTGGTAATTATATTGTTTACCTTCGTATATTGATAATCCATCAAGTATAATACCTTTTACATGGTTAGCTGTGGCTCCGGTTTGTATCAAGATTTCTTGATATTTTCATTCGATTCCATTGAAAATTCTTCCCTTTATTTTAGTAATATTTGAAATTTCTAAATTTTTTGTAGGATATCTATTTGATATACTTTTTCTAATGGAATTTCTTCCATATTCTATTGAAAGTCTAGGATTACTAGTACTTCCTATTTCTTGTGTTTTTCCAAACTGGATTTCATATTCGTCTGGAATTAGTGCTTGATGCACTTCTGCTTCAACTATTCGTGCTATCCCTGCACATTCTTGATCTATTTCGATCATTCCTTTATTTTTATATATCTTGCCATAATTCGAATTTGTAACTGTATACAAGGCTTGATAATATATACTCATTATATGATTACCTGATTTAAATAGATCTTTTCTTTTGATCTGAAAATGTAAACTCAAGGCATCATTAAAGTCAACATCTTTGAGTGAAATACAATATTTCGGGTAATAGGTAAAGAGAAGCTTTGTGTAAGCTAGGTTTCCCTCCACTATACCAAGATTTCCTTCTCTTGCATTTATAAATCTTTCATCTGATAGATTTATAACTATTGGACAATTGATTCCTTCTTTAAAAGTCGATTTGACTAATATTTGGATTCCTCCTAAATGAACATAATTCATTTTTTTTCCTTTTTCTTTCAGGAATTTTTCAGAGAATTTGATCTATCATGGGTTTTGTTAACAGGTTTAATTTATGTTTACCTATTGTTTGAGTGATTTCTATTACCTTTTCATATATATATATATCTCAGAATTAATTTTAGACCTATAATTTTAAATTTTTATAGATTTCAGTAGTAAAAACCTAAATGTCGAATCGATTAAATTTATATAAATCAACATTTTTATAATAGTGCACTCATCATCTCAAAATTTTGAATACGTCTCTGCGTCTATATATGCAATAAAGCTTTTATAGTACTTCATAATACATTATAATAATTTATATATACGAAAAAATAACATAAAATGTTTTGAAACTCCTCGGTCAACATCATTTTCCTTGTAGATATTTATATATATATATATAAGGAAGTGTGAATCTTATATATAACACTTTCTTCGTCTCAAATTAATAATCACTTTAAAAGTATATCATAAACAACTTTTCTATCTTTTTTCTAGACTCCACTTGCGGAATTATGTTGGGTTTGTTATTGTTTTAGCTCAAAACTATTATGCCAAAATGATTGTCATTTTAAGAGCAAAGTTGGTTGTTGTTTTTACAGTACCCTTAATATTAATCTCCAAAATAACTTGTTCCCAATCAAAACGATGTCATAGAGAAAATTTCCTATTGTAGTGGTTTCGACCTCCTTATTACTCTTTATAGTGATAATTCTTAAATATTTCAGAACATAGCGACATTAATGTATATCAAAGGAATATAACATTGCCCAATTAATATTTATCAAGAAGATTAAGAAGACATAAAATAAAATTAAATGAATTAATTGCAATTGACTTGAGAGAAACAACAGTAATTAGAAAAAGAAACAATTTTTATTGAATCTTATAAATTATACAAATACAGTGGTAATTAATTAATGAATTAGTAGAAATAATTTCTTTAAAAAAAAAAACCACTGTTTTTTTTATTCTCTTTTTCCCACTACATTTGCATCCTTTGGTCCATTTCCAAGTCTTTAATTCTTCATGTTTTGGAGTCTCTCTGCAAAAAAAATAAAAAAATAGAACATAATAACGTGTTATAAAATCGTAACTAACATATATACGTTAAAATTGCATAACATATAGTACGTAAACAAAAAAGTGATTCTAAAAATAAGCAGAATAGAGATACGTTCGTATTATACCTTTGAGCAATCTAGCGGTACAATCTTCGTCACACTTCATTTCACAATGTGTATAACCGAATCCTGCATCGGAGCATATTTTCTGACAGATATTGTAACAAACTGTGTATTCAGTTGCAGCAACGGTAAATGCTTTTTTGAATTTTTCTGCGTTACTTTCTCCGTCAGCCATGGAGACGTGTACGGATGAAGAAATCATGACGATGCAAACGAGAAACACTGCAACAAGCTTCTTTGATGCCTCCATTTCTATATGTGCTTTTGCTTTACGCTTGAATTTTTTAAAATTTTAAAAAAAATTAATGCTTGTTGCTAGTGTTTTTTTTTTTGTTTTTTGGACGATTTGATTATGTTTTTAATTCTCTTATTTATAGAATTTTATGTTGAGAATACACTTCAAATTAATGAGTGAATATCCAATTTTATAGGATATTTGTGGTTGTGACGTTGTGTTTGTTTTTAATGAAAAGAAATTAGAGTGGTGAGAATCGTTCAACAATTTTTAGTTGAAGAAATTGGAGTCGTGAGAATCGACGTTCAATATATTTTTAAATACTTAATAAAACTTATAATTGGAAGGTAAAACATGTTAATATAACTATGTTTTTAAAAGGCGGAAGCCAAAAAAATAATAGTTTAGGTGTGTTTTGAATATGAACTCCATAAGAAATAATTAAGAAAAGATTAATAGAAACAACAAATAATATGATAATCGAAATTGAAAAACCAAATGCACACCCCTACCTCTTGGTATTTCTTTCGATTTCGGTTATCGTATTATTTGTTGTTTCTATTATTCTTTTCTCAATTATTTTTTATGGAGTTCATAGTTAAAAGTAGGAGTGTTCGTGGTTCGGTTTGGATTGGTTATTGGTTAAAACTAAAACCAAACCAATCTAGTCGGTTTTTTAAATTTCTAAAACCAAACCAAACCAAACGAAAAAAATAACCGTCGATTTGGTTATTGATGGTTTGGTTTGGTTCAGTTTTTCTGTTTTTTTTTTAGTTTGAAAGTAATAAATTTTTGAGGACATACGTATCTTGATAGACACAAACACCTAGTACATGAACAATCCACTGAAAAGCTATTGTTGGTTCAATTAAGCAATTAAACAATACTAAAGTTATCAAAACACTAACAATGTGATTCAATTAAGAGAAGGTGTAACTATCTTATAAAAGGTATGGTAGGTAAAGATTAAAGTAATGAATTTTGATGGACTTGTACTTATGATTGTAATAGATGGGCAAAAATTTTCGTGTTGGGCTTGAGAAAATGGTAAAGTTAAAGACTTAAGTTACTTAAAATCTAACAAAATATTTATATTTTATTTATGAATGATATATAAATAATTATAAAATTTATATATCTAATTTATCGATTCGATTTGGTTATTTTTGCAGTTATTTTTAGTAAAATCAAAACCAAACCAAATAGTATCGGTTTTTCAAAATGTAAAACCAAACCTAACCAAATCAAACCAATTATCGGTTTGGTTCGGATTGGTAGTTCGGTTTGGTTTTTTAACCATAACCATGAACAACCCTAGTTAAAAGCACACGTAAGCTAATTTTTTTGTGAGTTTCATACTTCAATTACCCATTATTATAACACCTCGGACTTTGAAAAAGGTTAATGCGGATTAACGGACAAGTCCACACGCCTAAAACATATCATGAACCCTTCGCTGAACCCTAAACAGTTCGTGAAAGGGTTCATTGGCCGTTCAAGGCAGCCAGGAAATTGTGGGTGTTTGTATGGTTCCCTATACGCACCGTATAGACTTATATGGCCCGTTTAGGGGTCTATATAGATCACCCGTCACCTTTTAAGTTAGAGTCATTTTGGTGATCAGCTATGTCATTTTATTTCTTATTCTAAGCCTTATATAAGTGATTTAAGTCATAAAACTACTCATTCTAGATCATTCTCCTAATCATAAATTTCCCCTCCAAGTTCATCCCCAAAGTTCTCTCTAAAGCTAAGGAAGAAGAAGCTAGGGTTTCACTTTAAGATCTTCAGTTCACCATAGCTATTGGGTCTTGATCGCTAGGGTATGCTAGTATTCACCTGTGGAGTTCTTTCCTCCATAGGGTTCCCAAGATTTCCAATTTTACAAAGTTAAGAGTTTTATTCAATCTTCATGGGTTCTTCTCAATTATGATTCAATTGATTGTTTTCTATCTTTTAATGCATGAATTGAAGTAATTACATGATTTTGAGTTGAATTCATATATGAATCCATACATGATCGTCTATGATTTTAAACTATGAACACATGACGAAACTTATGAACTATGATTTATGGAAATTATACATGTTTTATGACAGCAATGTTTATGACTTAAGTAATTAAGCTTATAGATGAAGGTATTATCTATATGTCCTATGAAGTTTGGCCACATGATATGAATGAAATCTAGATTTGCCATCAATGCTTTTGATTTATTTTCCTATATTAGGTCTTGATTAGAATGTTATTTGGATATGCCATCAATGATCATGGATCAAGTTTTCTAAAACTAATATCATTAGTAGTATGATACTTTTAGTATGAAATTAATGACTATGGGTCGTATAAATCTATTATGAAAACATCATGGATGGTGAAAGGTTTCTCACGCATGGTTGAAGGAGTTACTCTATAATGATTTGAGCTTGAATTAGTAACTTAATTGTCCTTTTTATGTATGATGTTATGTTTATGAAATTTGACTTTTATTCATTCCATTGAAATATTGACTTAACATCGAGAGGGCTTTGAGGTGGAGGCTCAAATAGGATAGTCTCTCGTAACAACCTCTAGTCCCTAACTACGTGCCCAGTACAATTGTCTTAAATGACTTACCTAGTGGATCAACTTTAGGAAAAGATGATGTGTACAAATACTACCTTGGCAAGTAGAATCCCCTTCTTTCGGTATGAGGGATATACCGGATTCCATGATATAGATCTCATGGTCTTATTATAGGTTAAAACTGATATCCCACAAAGCGAATATGTTTTCTTCAAAGCTTTCTTATGTTTCTTATTTTAAATATGTTAATGACCATGATTTATAACTTATGTTTTCTAACCTTTTATTTTATGATTTATATTGGTCATTGTACGTCATGAAAAGTCCTTTTTAGCATTATTACATACCTTTTATGCATTTCTATCATACTTAGTACAGTCCATGTACTAATGCATACTTGTGCCTATATTGTTTCACTAATGTAGGGTCCGATCTCCTATAGCTACCTCACAGAGTACTCATGGCTAGTTGATCTCTTGGCATTCGAAGATTGGTATGTCCTTATGTTCCAAGGACCGAGACACTTTTTCATGCTTTTCTTAACTTCAGTTTTCAAATATTTGTATGAATGTGGTGTATGTGTTACGTCCCAACCACTCCTTTTTGATGTAATAGATGACTTGTTGAGACTATGTTAGACTTTCGCTTTGTCAAACTCGTTTATGATAAAAGAATGTTTCTTTTGAAATCTTTATTTCTATTATCTTGTATGATGTATGCTAAGTGGCTTGTGTAGGGCCTTTCAGGGTTCTATACGTCATGTTACGCCTAGGGCATACTTTGAATCATGACAATTATTCTCTTTACCTACATAATTTATCACTCTATTTATATCAAAATACACATTGATGCTAACTTCACTACTATAAATAAAGGTTTTTCTACAACGAATTAGTGAGAAATTTGTGTCATAGTACATGATTTTGCCACTCGTTTGGAAAATGGAGGGTGGGAAACAGATTCTCACTAATATAGTAAGAAACTTTCTAACTTTTTCATATGAAAACATTAATATTTTTCCTCACTGATTCAATCAAAATATCTATGAAAATAGCTACTGAACTTTTTTCAATGAGAAAATAGTGATTTTTTGTAGTTGTTGGCCAATTTTTTTTTTCTCCAATTGACAACAGTGTGTGAGGCCAACTCAACATATATGTGTGTTTTAATACAAAAGAAATAATATTTAAGACATGAAACTCGCAAAAAGGAAATAGATTAGATAGGTAAATAGATGAGGTATGAACCTCATGAAAATGTGACCGTAATTAATTTTTTTTATTTTTTACCTTTAACTTTGTTTTATATGAATTTTCCACCGTTGTATTTTCTTTTCTTGTTGATTTTGATATACTTCTTAAGGCACAAGTCTACACTCTAGACATGGCCTTGTAAGGCTCAACCTGTCATGCACCTTCCCTCATATTTTATCATCGTTAACGGCGTAGTTACATTGTTGCCCTTTTGGTTTCATCCTTAAATTGTTTTCCCTTTTGAATATTTTGATCAATTTTATTGCCTTTTTAACTCCGGACTAATATATATATATATATAAACGAATTTATTGAATCTGAAAAATTACAAAGTACAATGTACAGATGAAAAAACATTGTTTTATTCTTCTTTTCTCTCTAAGAAATATTTTGCATCCTTTGGTCCATCTTGAGGGCTTCAAATTAATGTTTCATTTTATCAATATCTTCTGCAAAATCTACAAACAAAAACATATATATTTATATTAGAAAATGAAAACAAGAGAACATTTCTATGATCAGGTCAATTATATAGTAACTAATTACATGTTAATTTCTATAATAGGCTAAACTACATAGCTAATGTCTTAATGTAACAAAGATTTGTTACATTCTTAGTGCATATAACTTAAATTCAGTAAGTTAACCTACTATATATATATATATATATATATATATATAGATATATCACATGTTATACATATATATGTTGAGAATACAAAAAATATTTACCTTGGAGAATCTGAGCAACACATTCACCTCCACAATGAGTCTCACAAGCAGTTTTTTCCTTGCCATTAGCAGCACATAAAATTACACATTTAGTGCAACATTTTTCATATTCAACAGCCATATCTTCATATGTGTTTCTGAATTTTTCATCATTTATTTCTTTGGTAGCCATGGAGATGTCCACACATGAAGAAATCACAAAAATGCAAATGAGAAACACTGCAAAAAGCTTCTTTGATGCCTCCATTTTTATTTTTTGTTTTTTTAAATATGTTTGTTGTTTTTTGTTTGGTTTTTAGATGATTTGATTAATGTTATTGTATATCCAATTTATAGGTGTTTTGGGACATCAAAATACCTCAAATTAAAGTGGTTGATAACCAATTTTATAGGGAATTTTTGGTTGTGGTTGTGTGACCTTTCATTTTAGTTGGTATTAGAGACTTAGTTTACTAAAAACTAGGAATTGTTATATGATATCTCACCAAGATTTTTTTTTTTTTTTTTGTCTATATTCATTTTAT